GAGACAGAGGAGACAGAGGACAGAGGAGAGGAGACAGAGGAGACAGAGGACAGAGGAGAGGAGACAGAGGAGACAGAGGACAGAGGAGAGGAGACAGAGGAGACAGAGGACAGAGGAGAGGAGACAGAGGAGACAGAGGACAGAGGAGAGGAGACAGAGGAGACAGAGGACAGAGGAGAGGAGACAGAGGAGACAGAGGACAGAGGAGAGGAGACAGAGGAGACAGAGGACAGAGGAGAGGAGACAAAACAACAAATTTAAACTCTGCTGGTCTGTGGCGCCCTCTGGTGGTTAGGGTCTACAGAACAACCTCCTGCATCTGGAGACCTGTCCAGATGTTCAGAGTTCAGACTAGGTCTAAAGAGTCAGGGTCCAGTTTGGAGTCAGGGTCCAGTTCAGGGTTCAGGGTCCAGTTCAGGGTTCAGGGTCAGGATCTGGTCTCACCGCAGCTTTAGCCTCGGCCTGCTTGGCTTTCTTCAGCCGGGCCTTGCAGATGTCCAGGTCCAAACGTCGGTTCTCCAACAGACGCCTCTCTTTCTGCGGAGGAGAAAACAGAACTTCTGTAGACCCGGTCTGAGGTTCTGGTTCTGGAGCATCCTGCGAGCCGGTCTCTTACAGAGATGGTCCTCCAGTCTCCCTCCAGGAAGTTCCTGAGAGGAGACAGGAAGGTGGCGTTGGCGGTCTGCAGGAAGTCTCTCTCAGCTCCGCCCAGTTTCTTCTCATGCTCTCCAACGATGATCAGGGTCTTACCTGAAACCCAGKCCGGGATCAGCGGGGCCACTTTCATCACCAGAACCAGTCCTGGCTCAGGGTCTTACCGTACGGTGAATCTGGTCCAAACTCCTTGGCAGCGTCCAGCATGTGCTGACCCAGCAGCTCAGAGTTGGTGGTTCTGGACGGAAGCTTCTTGTCCAGTTTGTCATAGATGAACTCCTCGATCCGAGCACCTGGACCACAGGTGAGACGCAACAACTGAAGAACCGGTCAGGTCCGATTTAATGGCCCGAGGGTTCTGGGTCTGGTCTTTGACTGAATGACTGAGGAGGTTCAGTTAAGGACTGGATCATGTTGGACCAGATCAGAACAGAACCAGGACTCAGCACATTTTAACCAGACTCCAGTTCTCCCTTCAGAACCGGTAATACAGAACTCAGAACCTGCTTCAGTCTCACACCCAGTGCATTCTGGGTACAGAATAAAAACAACTCACCGGTGTGGTCAACTGCAGCGTGAAGAAGACAAAGGTCAAAGGTCACAACATGTCAGRCAGGGTCATAAACACATCAGAGCAGCTTTTCTGACAACTCTTCCTCTGATTCATGAATCAAATGAAACGATTCTGAATCTGAATCTTCAAGGAATCATTAAAGACGAACCTGCCTCAAACCATCAGATCAGGTTTTTATAACGAGGGTCTTTCAGAGCACAGGAACCGTTCCTCAGGTTCTTTCAGGTTCTCTCAGGTTCCTTAAAGTTCCTCAGGTTCTTTATGATTCACACAAATGAATCAAATGAAATGATTCTGAATCAGAACATTAAAAGAATCATAAAAGAAAAACCTGCCTCAAACCATCAGATCAGGTTTTTATAACGAGGGTCTTTCAGAGCACAGGAACCGTTCCTCAGGTTCCCTCAGGTTCCTTAAAGTTCCTCAGGTTCTTTATGATTCACACAAATGAATCAAATGAAATGATTCTGAATCAGAACATTAAAAGAATCATAAAAGAAAAACCTGCCTCAAACCATCAGATCAGGTTTTTATAACGAGGGTCTTTCAGAGCACAGGAACCGTTCTGTGCAACTTTTTAGGAACCTTTTCCAGGAACCAGGATAGTTTCCTGTTTGTTTGTTTGTTTGTTTGTTTGTTTGTTTGTTTGTTTGTTTGTTTTTACTGCAGGAACTAAAATGGACCCAGGGCAGGAACTGACCCAGCAAACAGCTATGAGGATGTTTCGTCTGGTTCCTGCGGTTCTAACCCGGGTTCTAGCCCACCTGACGTGTTCAACAACAAACAGATTCATTCAGGACCAGAACCATCACAGAACTGACTCGGGTTGGGCTGRAGCAGGARCTCCGTCTGTCTCAGGATCTTCTCYGTCCAGTTCTTGGTGCTGTCCCCTCTGGAGATCAGGTTGTCCAGGTGAGGATCCAGCTCGGTCTTCTCGGCCTGGCCCAGTTTCTCCTCTGTGAACTAACAGATGAATGTTTATTTCAAATATGTTTAATTAAATCAATGAAATATATAAAAATAAAACGTTTCTCTGACAGAAAACAACGGTTTGAAACCAGGAAGGGCTGCTGTCTGAAGAGATGAAAGGAGAATTTAACTCAATATTTAAAATCTAACAGATAATTCTAATCATCTAAAACAGATACCGAACATTAAAAAAACAGTCCAGATTAATAATCTGTAGAATTATTTCCATTTGGACCGAACCAGATCCCTAAAAACACTAGAAGATCTTAAATTGACGGTTTTCTGCATGGAGTTCGGTGAGCGGGTTCCTGCTCGGGCTGCTGGCGTCACGTGACGATGATGGACTCGATCAGTCATCAATAATGGATCAGAACCGCACGAACCTTTATCGGCTTACAGAACCGAGCCCAACAATACAGACAACCAGAACCACCAGCTGCAGACCGGACCGGACCGGACCGTGTCCCGCGGCTGTTTATCACCCAGACAGAACCTTTCTAACGGAACCGCATCCTGATCGATCTGCTGCAGCAGAACCGAACCCCGGAGGTTCTACCTGCACGGCCCGGGTGAAGAACACTCCCGCATCTGAAGCCAGCTTCTTCACGTTGAAATCCATGACGGTTCCGACCAGGTTCGGGCTGCTTCTTTATTGCTTCGGGACCAGGTTCGGACTTGTTTTTGTCTCCTCCGGATCAGCTGAGCCGCAGAACTGGAGCCTGATCCGGGTTCGGAGCTCCGCTGCCCGCCCTGCGTTTAAAGAGACAAGAGCGGTACCGGGGGGAGGGGGGAGGGGTCCAAACGGTCCAAACCCCTCCTGGTACCTACCCTAAAACAAACAAACAAACAAACAAACAAACAAACAAA